GCGGCGTCATAGCCGACTGATCCAAAGGCTCATTGCACCTATGCTCGAGAGAGCGCATGGGTGGAGCAAGCGACCCTCCTGTCCATGAGCTGGGCGCTGGAGCTTGTCCCGGATCCGTCACTGATGGCTTCGCGCTGCTGACCGGCGCGGCAGGAACACCACGAAAGTCACCTGGGCCAGTCAGCGCTGGAGCGAGCTTGGGAGCACCTTCATGCAAGCGGCTGCGCCAAAGGACATTCCACGATCGGGGGCAGAATGTTTGCCATGACCTCTTCATTCGGGTCGTGGTGCTGCAACGTGAGCGCGTCCGCATTCACGATCGCCCTCGAATTGCGGAACAACGGACGCTCACAAACCAGATGCATGTTGATCGGGTTGGGCTCGACCGCAATGCCTGAAATGCGCGGGCCCGTGTCATCGATCGATGTGGCCTCCACCTGAGCCGTCCAATGGGCATGAATGGCCGCCAGTTGACTGAATTGGAGTGCCTGATCAGGCCCTTCGACCCTTGTACCATGATCTCGGCACCACTTGGCGTTTCGGATCAAAGTTGTTCGGACACACGGCTGATCACCAGCCAGGAAGACGGGATAGAGGCCGTATTGCAAGCAACATCCAGTCGATCGCTGGCTGACCAGAATCGCATCTCTAAACGATCTGCGTCGGCGCCGAACGAGTCGGGCGAGCTGGTCGCAGTGAATCATTCGAAGTGGCAAAGTGGATGATCAAGTGCCGCAACGACCCCGCCCTCCGAACATGCGTAAAGGCGACCGCCCACTTCGAAGGAGATGGCCACCACACGCCACCCTTGGAAGACCGTGATGACAAAGCTCGGGATGAACACCGTATCGTTCAAGATATTGAAGATGGCGTCCGCCACATGGATCCTCTGGATGCTCATGTCAGCGTCCGAGCGGAATCCACGAAGTTCTAAATGAACCAACAACTGGCCTTCCAACTTCATTTTGATATCGACCCAGGTAGGACTCGATTCGGTCATTGGAGGCCAGCGGAATGGCTGAGAAGCCGAGTGACTCAAAACCAGGCCAGTTGCGGCATCCCACTTGGCACACGGTGCGCTTGAGTAGCAGGTTGCCGAGCCACAAATGATCACCTTCACACTGTCCAGCGTGCGCACAAGGAAGAGGTTGAAGTGATAACCAGTCGAGGGAGACTTCACAAGCGAGCGGTCTGACTTGACATTGAGGTATGTCAAGGCATTGGTGAGCACTTCATCAAGCAACCAATTCTGAAAAGGCGACTGGATCCTCATATCACGATTGTCAATGATCAGAATTGATCGCTCGCCTTCCCCGGCTCCAATCTGCGACAAATGATCTGGCAAGGCCGTGTTGAGCGGGTTGTGCCTGAGGTTCCCTGGAGCCAGGTTGCCCCAACGATAGGCACGCCTCCCTCTTCGAGCTGCTTGCTCTTGACGTTCACGAAGTCGCCGAGAGGCAGGGGTCTCGTTCGTGTGGTTGAGGAAGCTCTGCGCTGCTTGGAGAACAGGTGCTGCTGCTGAGCTAGCCGATGGACCTCCTGGAGGAGGTGGTGGTGGAACCACTTGAGGAGCCACAGGCTGAGCAGCTGCGGGCTGACCAGATTCGGCAGGCTGAGCGCTATCTTCTTGAACAGGTTCCATAGCCGGCTCCGGCCACGGATCATCCACAGCTGGCTCAACCTCAGCGTATGACCAAGAGCTGACTGAGCTAGTCTCATCCTGGCGGCCAGAGGCATTGAACATCTGACGGCGAAGTGCCGCAGGCATTGCCTTGAACTTAGGCATGGTTTTGGCCTTTGGCTGCGCAGCTTCCGACATTGCTCCCAGGCCCTGAACAGGACAAACGAATCTATCAAAGACTGTTCTTGCCTGGCAATGAGCTTGAGCCAAAATGGCATCAGCAAAAATGACCGATTAAACGAACGACAAAGCATGAACATGCAAACCTGAAAGTGCAACTCCTGTTCCAACCAACCTACCGTAAACATGAGCACTGCTAAATCATTGCGTTTCCATGCGGGAAGATGGTTTTTGCAAGGGCTATGCCGGAACCCTCCTGGCGTTGCGTTTCCTTTGGGGGACACAAGTTGTCCCACTATGGGAATAGCTCGTCCGAGATGACATGGTTTTGGCGTGCTTGGGGTCCATGCGAAACATCAAAGCATGCGTCACCAAGACGCGGTTTTCACTGTACATCGGTACAAATTATTCGCGCATCCATGAGGCACCTTTTTTGGCCGACCTTTGCTGAATTTTGACATGCACAGCGGTATTTGGGCGGGGTCAGTTGCACATTTTGTATCGCTTCGATCTCACTCTTCGTATCGCCTTCCATGTGTCCCATTTGTTTATTCGTATCGTTTTTATTTGTTTGTGTTTTTTGTCAAACTTATTTACATTTATGTGTGCAGTGTCTCATGGAAAATCGCAACAGTGTCCCACTCCAAACTTTGCAGCAAGTCCGGGTCCCCGCTCACAGTCTGCTCATACGTTCATGGCAGAAGTTGGTGACCAAAGTGATCCGCACACTGGATCTTGAAAACCAATTTTGCCAGTCATGCAAGGAATGGTTCATACTGATGCCACACATTCTTCACAAACTGGGCGTATGCAGGAATGCCCATTGTCCCAAGCTGCGTTTATTCCACAGCTACAGCCAGCCTGGTTGTATAGAACGGGTTGTGTGAATGTAGGGTTGACTCACAGGCTGCTACAGCGCCGTAAGTTGAATCAGTTGATATATATATATGTATATAATAGTATAATTAACAAATATATATATATATACATGTGTACATACATCACCCCTTTTTGCAGCCGCAAACTCGAAGATTGGTCAGAGCTATATTGGTTGCCGGCTGTTGATGACTGATGCTGTTTTTAGCAGCACCTCAAGAGCTTGGGTGCTTCTCTAGAGTCTAGAGACTCTTGGGATGTTTTTGGGGTTTGAGTCTCCTGATAGTGTGAGATTTGCCTAGATCATGCATAGATATGCATAGCATGTACAGTTCACAAACCTTCAACTGACGTGGCTTTTTCTGCCCAAAGGAAAAGACCGCAGCCATGTTTTGACATGGTAGCGGAGCCCGAGGATTGACCGTGGGCAAGCTACGGTCATGAGGGCTCACACGCTTGCGACGCCATGGATGGCGATGATGGCGATGGCCATGATGGTCAGGTCCAGGAGCTGATGAGAAGCCCAACGAGACGATTCCAGGGCAACTGGCATGGAATTCGACAAGGTCTATGTCCTTGAGGAGCTCGACTACATGTTGGAGCGGCGCTGGCATAGCACCTACATCCCGGACAACCTCAACGAGCAGTTCATTTGGCGACACTTTGTCCTGGACAGCTTGGAGGAGCTCAGATGATGGCAATGGTGGCACTCACTGAAAGAGAAGGAGGAAAAGAAGGTCAAGGGGGACCTCGTGGAGAAGAAGAGCGCCAGCCTTGGACATGGAGTTCATGGCAATGAGAATGTCGAGAAAGAGTCCTGCAAGAATGCCAAGGTGACTACAATTGGGTTCGAGTCCCAGTTGATGGATGATGAGGCCATGGTGCTCAGGACTGAGCTGAGGGCTCAGCAATGGAGTGAGGCAGATGGGAACTCACTCGAGGAGAAAGAGAAAGAGAAGAACCTCATCACAGAGAATGACATGGCGCAGGACGAGGTCGACGAGGAGATCAGAGAGAGCACCATGGAGAAGAGAAATGAGCTGGATGGGCGAATCCAGCAGCAGCGAATGGTTGACCAGCAGAAGAATGTCACCTACAAGAAGGAAAACTACATCCTGAACTTTGACATCGAGAAGTGCCAGAAGAAAGAGAACAGCAGCATGGTGAACTTCAATGAGCAGATGGTGGACTACATCGAGATCCCCATAGAGAAGGTCAACGACAAGATCTTCAAGGTGATTTGCTTGAGCTTGGCCATCCAGTGCAGGTGGCAGATGATGGCGCTGCTGATGCTTGGGCTGGTGGTTGCAGCCCATGGTTTGGAAGAAGGAGAACGAGCTCCAGGCTGGACAACACGACACGAGAGGAGACAATGGCTGTTAGTGAGAGTGAAAGGGAAAGAAAGAAGAAAAGAGAATTGGAGAAACCACTTGGGTCGCATGGCAAACAAACGGCAGTTCCAGATTTTCATGATGGTAGCAATGCTGAGCACAGCAAACGGAATGGAAACACAGCCCCACAAGAGTGTCTGACAAAAGTGTCCTCCGAGAGTGTCCCACAAGAGTGACATATATACAAGAGTGTCCCACAAGAGTGTCCTACAAGACTGTTTCGCAAGAGTGTCAAACAAGAGTGTCCCGCAAGAGTGTCCGACAAGAGTGTCCTACAAGAGTGTCCCACAAGAGTGTCCTACAAGAGTCATGAGTGTCCCACCAAGAGTGTCCCACAAAAGTGGGTGTCATACAAGGTGTCCCACACAAGAGTGCGCAAGAGTGTTCCACAAAGGTTTCCGAAAAGAATGTGTCCTACAAAAGTGTCTCCTACAAGAGTGTCGAAAACTAATTGTATGTTTGTCTTCGAGTACGTGTTTGCATTTGGGTTCGTGGGCTCTATCTTGTTCTTTTCTCTTGTCTGCTGTGATCGGCGTTTTGTTTGCCGCTGCTTCCTTGTCTTCTCCCCAACCAAACACGACATCGCCACGACGTCCATACATTCAAAGACCAATGGAAACGCCAAAAAGAGAAGATCGCCACGACTTCAACATCTGATTGTACACAGCTGGAGTGCTGTGAACTGAAGACCCAAAAGGAGCCAAAAGTCCTGTGTCTTCAAACGCACTACAATATAGTAGATGACAAAATGAACCAAAAGTTCTTGGCGCCAAGACTCTGAACATACTGTGACAAAGAGTGACCCTGGATCTCTAGCTGCCCAGCGCGGTGTTCAATCATATTCATTCTGCTGGCGTTACTGCACACTCTGGGAGTGAGGTAGAGACAGGGCCTGTAACAAACACCGCGTCACAAGAACCAAACTGCGTTGCCTGCACTAACACGAAAATGGTCGGGAAGGCCAGAAAGTAAGCGGATCCGACGATCTCAAACATCTGAAGGAAGCTCTGCAGCTTCATCCCACCTGATAATGAGGCAGGTCAATCAAGTCAGTGCAAGCAGTCCAAAACATTCAAGCAGGTGAGCAAGGATATGGGAGCATGGCCTGTTGCCCGTAGCTGATGGATTCCTCACTGGAATCCAGCACAATGAAATCTGACTGTTATATAAGGTATGTGCAGGATTGCGCTGCGATTCTGTGATATTGATATTTCACACCAACTAGCCTTATAAATGCAAACACGCAGCAATTGACAGTCCAACACGCTACACAAGTAGGACCTGCTTATCCGATGATACGCGGCTGGCCCTTGCCATGGTAACATGACCGCAACCGCTTCGGCCAACACCACCTGCGTCACAACTAGTGGTCAACTTGAAGCCCTTTCGCACATTGCCTAGGACAAAACCTACGTATATATAGAAAAATACTTTTCCGTTGGCTCAATCAAATTGCGGATTAGGCCTCGTATAAAAAACATAGGATTAACAAACCTCCCCTGGTTAGTCCAAATCAAACATAGTATTGGTATATGTTATTGGTTGCCAAATGTTGCCAAATTTCACAGAATAAGCTTGTTGGGTTCTAGAACACCCCCCAGTTAATCCGAGCCCCACCACCAAATCACTACTACTACTACTACTACTAGTGCCACTGCCACTGCCACCACCACCACTACTACTCCTACTACTCATTTTGTTGCTGCTGCTACTTCTACTGCTACTGGTACTGTTACCACTACCTACTACTGATTTAAATGTCTAGGGTTCAAGGCATATAAAAATCTTTGCGCACACGCATTGAAACGAATCTTTACCCCTCACAAGGGCTGGTCACCCCCAAAATCTGAACTACTACCCCCTATTAATTTGATCCTGTGTCCCTGGCCTTTTGTTTGTGTTTGCTTATTATCATTGCTACTTACTCCTACTCCCTCCTTAGTAGATTAACCAGAAAAGTGGACCTCATGAATGGATCTGAATGGTATCTCAGACCTTCGTGATCTTGTTTACATTCCCCGGTGGGGGGGGGGGTTACTAATCCGGTCTGCGCATTATTGCGGAAACATGCACCTGTGTGCCAACACGGTTAAGACGTTAAGACATATTGGCACACGAAGGATTTCAACAAACCAACATTAGCATGTATAGCTTGTCTTCCAGGACCCTGTCAAACAAAGGATGCAAGGGTGAGGAACCCCAGAAACAAGAGACGGACCAACAACAAGATAATGAGAAGGACCATCAGCGCTTATTAAGTCCGTAACCAGTACAAAAACCATCAAAAGCCAACACCACAAATTTGCAGGGCCTTCAATTTGTCCCAGCGATGTATTGCACACTTCCTCTCAGAAACTTAATTCAAATGGAGGACGTACTGGTCGAGTGTGTCATGGTCATTCAACCCTGGAATCAAGACCAACAGAAGGCATAAAGTTTTGTTTGCCAGAAGTATAAATGGAAGGGAGGCTCTCCGGCCTCTTGGTCCTATTGAGCCATTGGACACATCAAGGAATGCTGGTGTGGCTCTGGAAACATGGACCGTCTTTGTGCAGCTTAGCAACCTGACCGAAACCACACAAAAAGGCTGAGGCGTACAAGCAAAAGAATCCAGCCAACAAGGCCTTCATTCTCATGATACTTGTAGTCCTGCGTGCGACAGTAAACATTGCAGCTACTAAACCGTTAATGCCGACAGCTATCCATCCCAAAACAATACTCAAACTTGAAAAAACGCTAGCAATCTTGCATCCGGGCCTCTGACTGCATCTTGCCTATTGCCACCAAAGCCACATGCAGCACCGTGACAACCACAACCACTGGAACCAGTAACTCCACCTCAGGGGGAATGAACGATATATAAGTGCAGTTGAAGTGAAATGGCTCTTCGTTTTGCATGTCCTGCACCCTCTTCAGCCTCTCCCAGCTTGGACCGTACAAGACTGTAGCCCTGGGCAATGGCAATGAGTAGTGACGCAGCTCCAACCTGCCAGTCACACCAAGAAGAATGTGTTCAAGTTTGCTCTCCCCAAAACGTGGCGAACCCGCGGCAGCGTCAGGCTTTGAGAGGCGCCAAGGTACCTGGCTCAGCATGAACAGCACCTCAGCGAGGCCATCAGCCAGTTGGAGGCCACGACCTGGGAATGGGATGCCACTTGAGGATCTAACTACCCTAAGCAGCTTCAAGCAGCTAAAGCACTGTCAAACATCCCAAGGAAAATACCATCCTTCTGATAGTCGAGTAGATGAAGCAAGTGCAAGGCCTGAAACCATATTGAAATGACTTCAAAAGTTACTTTCTTTCTATTTCCTTCGTGGTATTGATCAGCTGTCATTCCATGGGCAGCACGCCAACTACAAAAGGCCCTAGCACAACTACCGGCACCATGTACGCAGCTTTACTGGTCTAAGCCCCATCAGGCATTACATAGCCAGAAGGGCATGCTCAGGAAAACGAGCCTGCGACGTCCACTGCAATCCCATCGCCAGCAACAAACTGCGGACAACTGGATGGAGCTTGCCTGCGCGTTGACACGCTATCAGCTATCATGATGGAGGGGTAAAGCTTGTTGGCTGTAGATAGCTGCAGCCAGCCCAGCCTACGGTTCGTCGAAGGGATTGGCTCTTGGCTGCAAACCAACAAGCCATTGCCGACAGAATCAGGAGAGCGAGGACGGTTGCCATTGGCATGTACCTCCCACAAATGTCAAATGGTCGGAAAGCAATGAAAGTGAAGAAATTGGAACATGTTTTAAGATTTAAAGCAACACGTTCACTGCTTTCCATGCCTCATCTCCATGCTTAACTCAGAGTCGTCAAATTGCCTACGGGATGTTGGACACAAGAAAGGATGGTCTGATACCGAATGGTTGTGCGGTTTTGCACCTGAAAATAGTAATCCTTCGCACATATATAAAGCTAAAAAAACTCACACAGGTTCCTCCAACGGATTTCGTAGTCCACGGTGTAGCCTTAAAAACAGCAAGGGTTTTTCCGAATTCGAACTTGCCAACCTCTCCCAACGCGGATAGCAAGCTTCGCCGAAACACTTTCAAACAAACAAACATGTTGCACACAACACAATTCAGGACTTGGACTATGCCTTGTTGATGCTGCTTGTAGTGCCCATCCAACTGGTTATCTGGAATCTCGACACCCAAAGCTACTAAAAACTTCGCAGCAACCGATCCAGTCGCATTGGCACAATCGGCACATGTTCAGTCACAATGTTAAACTGTTACTCATGATTTTTTCTGGATCCGCCCCAACTCCAACTCCCATAAGCTCCCCTCGTATTGGCCTTCCAAACAATGCACCCAAAGCATATCCCTAGCCTATGGGGCAACACTGGAGTTTTGCATTGCTCTGTCACGCTGACAGCAAATGAGAGTGGATTCTGAGCCAACCTCTCCATGCATTCCACAGGGGAAACCTACCTGCGGGACTAACAAAGAGTCACCGACAATCCATAGCTCAAGCTACCATATGTTACTAAAGAAATGCTCACGGTGCGCAGTCACAACCTACATACCACACATGCCAGGTCTGAACTGGCAGTACGTTCCACCAGTCCACGTATTGGTTACTGTCGACTACTGCCACCAACCCTTCGCCCTATCCCTTGCTTTCAGGTCGCTAAAATTTTTGTTCCCCGGCATGCTGAGCAACAGCTCATCGGGACAATCTGACAAAGCCTCAAAAGGTTTGAAGGATACAAACATCAGCCTTTGTCATCCTGACTCTGAGAACAATATCACTGAGGAGGAGGACCCTAATTGTAACTTACAATTTCCTTATTTCTAAGGATGGGCAATGCAAACAAACATTTATTTTGATACGAAAAAACTTGAGGCCAGGGGGAGGAGGTCGAAAGCTAGCCGAATCGCACCGGATGTACTAGTTACATAGTCGGCAAAGCATGTAGTGATTACATGTTTTGGGAGAAAGGTGGCTACGTACACACTTTGCGCTAAAGAATGTAATGTGACATCGCCGACTGGGAAGGGTACATTGGAACAACACGGGTGCACTCGTTGGCAAGCACGAAGATGCGTGATCGGCAAATCTGGGGGG